AGGCAGAGGAATAACGGCAGCAGAGACAGACAAACATAGAGAGACAGTGGTTCAGACGGAGACAGAATGGGAGGAGAGCCCTGCACACTATGCAGTGTGTGTGTGTGTGTGTCTGTCCTAGGGCCTGCAGTGAGGCCCAGTTTAATTAAAACACTTTTGTATGACAGAGGTAGGAGACAGACAGACAGCTTCTTTCTGCCCCCGTCTCTCTCTTGGATAATGGAGCTGGGGGTTTAAAGTGGAACCTGTGTTTTTGGGCCAGCATACAAACATCCATCAGAGCTCAGCAGCCGGCAATTTGTGCAGAATGGAGGAAGACAAGAACTCCTCGCCGTGCATCACAGCAAGTCTTTTATTACTCTAATGACAGACAGCAGACAGCTAGAAAGCAAACACAGGCTTCTGGGTCTTATTTTCCAGAGCACAATATCGCAGGAACACACGCACGTAGACCCAGACACCAGATGACAACCTATGCTTATACAGTACATTCTCACCCACTCTTATTCATGTATGCTAAACTCATATATAGTGTAGCTGAAGGAGTCCCCTCCTTTGGTGACTGTGTGTCGGAGTGCAGAGCTGCAGTTCAATGTAAATGAGAGTCGGAGTGACAGTGGAGGTGCGAGGCCACACGAGAAGGCAGGAGAGCGTAGGAGAGAGGTAGAGGGAATCTGGATAGAGGTGACAAGATGGGAAAACAGGAAGGCTGGCCAAAGACGGGTCAAGAGACACTAAGAGACAAGTGGAGACGATGGAGACAACAGAGCACACAAACACACAATACTGGACTGCCATAATAACTGGCAAGAAAAATGAATCACAGCAATGTCTGTCTTTGTCTCAACCTGACGTGGAAACTTGTTCTTTCTGCCCTCTGTCTTTCTCCACCCTCTCTTTTCTCTCACACACACACACAACTGTAATTTTCTTGGCCCCAGCGCCTCTAGCCAAAGTGGAATCTAGAGTGTCAGTACTTTATCATTACCTTTACAGAGTTAGTCATTACTGTCCTCTCCAGTGCCTTCGCTACCCCAACACTGCACTCAGTGGGGGAAAAGAGATCAAGAGAGAATAAAGCATCGGAAGAAGAATACTTTGAAGCAGCCTAACAACAGAACAACACTATAAAAGACATTGGGTCAGGTTGTGTTTGGAAAGATCAGGAATCTTTCTTTTCTTAGGTGTCCTAT